TTTTGCGGTCCCGCACTGCCGCTATGCCTGCGCATAGTTGTACGGGTTATGTATGTATGTGGTGCGTGTGGAGGTTTCCTTAGAAAACTCCTGCTGTGACCTTTGTAGTTCAAAACCCCTCGTGAGCCAAAATCCTCCTAACAGTGTGTTTCAGGTTGCTCCTCAACTTCTGCAAAAGGGTGACTGACTAGGTTCTGCAATTGAAAGGAGTGTAGAAAATAGCTGGGATCTCTGCAGACGAGCTGCCTGTCTGACGAGCTGTATCCTGATGGCAAATAAGCTCGCGGAGCTCCAGCAGCACTGCCTTTTTCACTTAGCCATGGTTCCCAACTTCACGCTTTCAGCTCAGAGCATAAATTCCCAGGAGAGCGCTGGCGGACATCAGCTCCTGGTTGCAGTTACACTTTCCCTGTTAGTAAACTCCCTGTGCCATACAACGCACCTCTTCAGTCTGTGCTTTAAATTGTCCTGAATTGAAGCTACGGCATGTCGTGATATCCACGATATCCATCTTTGTAAGCCAGTAAAATATGGTCATGTACAAATGCATGTATCTACTTAAAATAAAAGCTTCTCACTGCCAAGAAGCCTTGGTGTGATTGTTTCGGCCAGGCAATGTGGTCAACTGTTTGTTTCTCAGAGGTGCACATGTGCCTCTGCCCCCGCAAGCAAAGCACACACACAGAAGTGGTGAGGGACAAGAACGAGCTCTTGATACACCGTCTTTATGTGGGACACTTGTTTCCCCGAGAAGGTGGTGAGCTCTCATGGCAGGGGGATTTATAAATAACCTTCGGTGGGAAGAGCAGTGGGGCCTGCGAGGAGCTGTGTCCTTTCCGGAGCAGGTCTGTCTGCAGTCGGGTTGGGTTGCCAGGACGGGAGTCAGGTTGGCAGCACTAACTGTGCTGTGAAACCCAGAAACATGTACTTTGTCACATACTCTGGTGATGCCAGGGCTTGCTTCACGGCCGAGTTGCTGAGATGCTGTTTTCTTTCTTGGTTACATGTACAATCTCATGCAAACCTGACCACGTAAAATGGAAGGATTCCTCTATTGGACACCCCTGAAAAGAGAGTGGACTCTCAGTACAAGATTAGCCGTAATACTGTGCGCTTGCATTTTCTGCGCTGAATCTCTGTGAGTTCTTTCAAAACTGAACTAAGCGCCATGTGACGTCGCCACCCTCCCTTCTGCAGGTCTTTTCTTTCTGTCCTCTGCAGTTGATCTTCTACTTTGCTCCTTTTCTCTAAACCCTTTGTTCCACCCAGTTCCACCTCCCCAGTCTCCCTCCAGTGCTCTCCTTTGCTAATCTTACATCTATTGTTTCTACTTATCTCTGGTCAAAAGGCCAAATCCTGCTTTCAGTGCAGCCACAATCCCAAAATTTTTCACCCACTTTTAAAGTATGTATATTCCTGTTTTCTCCAGAGCTACCATTCAGGTTTGGAAACAGTCCCCTACAAATACACGTGAGCCCAGCTAACTTCTCGTTTCCTCTTAAAACTCACCTTTGCAAAAAATCAAATTACAGCAGTCAAACTACCCATTTGCTGACATTCTCACCAGTCGCACCCATTCCTCAAGTCCTACCATTCCTCCGCTCCCATCACCGGTTTCTTGTCTTATATTTGAGCTGAAAACTCTTGGTAGCACATACCCTCTGAGTTTCAATTAAGAGTGGACTTCCTATGGTCAAAGCACCCCTTTATATATGGAAACAGGAGGAATCTAATCCTACTAAAAAGTAAACTAAAGCCAGTATGTTTTAAATAAGCACACCTATATATAAAATAAAATAAGCATGTATGTGTGCATATATATAAACACATATAGTGTTTGTGTATTCATGCAATTCTCCTAATAAAATCGTATTTAGACTTATTTGATATAAAATACATATTACTATGGCTACCCATTTAAAGAAAACTAATCTCATTTAGGTTTTCCTTGTGGAAGAACACACAAGAAATCAAATGCACTCATGTATCAAAGAAACTATTAGTTCAAATGAATACTGTGCATTTATTGATCTTCAAGCAGATGCAGTTGCCCTACATCATGAGAGTTGTAGTTCCGAGTGTTTTCAAATTTGGATGCCTTGAACACTGCATATATACTCCAAATACACACGTGTTTGAGAGATGAGAGTCTTTGAATACAGACTTTTAATTTTCTTCAACAAACTCTTAGCTCCAGTTAAATTCATCAAATCAATACATAAATATTCGCACTCACTCTCTGTATACATATGTATACACACATATATATGCATATACACATATATGTATATATATACCTATATATACACAAACAGGAGAGTCAGAAACGTTGCCATTTGCCCAGTACCTTGAAAGATGTTTTGCTTGCTTGTTCTTCTGTTTCAGACAAAAATAATGAGACCTTTTCTCCATCCCATGTTCACAAAGGCACTGACAAGCACTAGACAGCACAGGTCAGTACGTGAAGCTGCTGCAACAGTCTGTGTACTCATGTTAGTAGCAGGCAACCTTTAACACTTGTTCTGGGAGAAGAAAATGGTTTTGGTAGGTGTGGAACCCAATCATGTTGTATCTTAGCAAAAAGTTAAGGCTTGAGAACCTGGTGGCTTATCAGGCAGATTTCCACAAATACAAATTTCACTGTGGGTGTATTTCAAAGTATCACATAACCGTCTAGGAAAGTCCCCAATGAATTACTCCAGTGTTGTCTCAAAAGACAACATTCCCAGCCTAGTAGAGAAATTCTATCAGCAGCAACTACTTTTATTTCAAAATGCCATATCTTGGCTTTACTAAAACCAACGTGAATTTCCTAGGAACTAAAAATCCTCTCCGTAGAAAAGTATTCTGCATTCTCTCGCTGCCTAAAAAATACTGTTGGGTCACACACCAAATAGAAACTGTGTGATGAGATATTCAAAACTGTATCGGACAGACACTGCGTAGGCTGTGAAGAACACGCTCCTTGCATTCCCAGAAATGGGCCATGAAAGTTTCATCATCAAGTGGAAACTGAGCTGTTTTCCAGCTCTAATGCGTGAATCTTTTCTTCTATGGTTCTTGCATGAAACAGGAACTGTGTTCAACGGCATGTGAGAGCCCTCCTTTTACCACTTCTTTTTTTTTTTTAATTGGAAATCACAACCCTGGAAGCATTTCAAGCACAAACTGTTCTCACAGATGTCAAGGGGAGTTTTCAACTGACATCATCAAGATCTGAATTTTTCCCCGTATGTTTGACCATGCTTTGCAAAATGCCCAGCAAAACGGGGTTTTCCACACAGCTGTGACATTTGGATATCCCTTGTACAGGTAATAGTAAGAAAGGATTTAGTCTTGGAGAATATCCACTTACATGTCCCAGATGCCACTTGACGTGTTTTAACATTCCAAGAAATATATGTTCTTTGTGCTTCTCCCTAGAGCAGGGCAAAGTCAGCAAGGGCACAGGTCATATTTAATTTACCCTGGACTAGGTGGACCTTTACTTCCTACAGACAAAATTTGATTTCTGAAGTAATTCACTAGTCTTTATTGCTACTTTTGATAAAATATTTGCAAAGGGCGCATCTGCATGTTTCAAAATTGAAACCTGTACTTGTTTCAAAACATTTAACTGCTTTGCATATACAAGTTATTGTAGGGCTTTTTTTCTTACATTTGCCCTTTGCTTTGTAAGACAGCAGGTTTCCAGAGTTCTCTGGGTACACAAATGTCCCTAGCCTACACACATAGCCAGCCACTCAGCTTCACACAAACAAAACCTTTCAGTTAAAAAGCAGAACCTGCCTAAATAATGTGATCATAGCAGCAAGCCAAACCCTGAAGGAAGTTGATCAAAGCCCAGGAAAATACACAGTCAACCCAAAAAACTCTTATTTCACCCACTGGAAAATACTAAAAAATACATACAGGACACTGACTTTATTAAAAATGATGTCATGTGCTGAAAGCTGCACAGATTCGATGTCATTTCTGGATAAGGGCCTGTATGCCTGAAGGACTTTTTTCAGTTTTATCATTCAATTAAAAAAAAAAAGAAAAAAAAAGAAAGGTATCTCCCTCTCCCTGAATATTGTCCTGTAATTTCCCAGGATATTTTCTAGGCCAGGTCTATACTTTGGTACACACATGTTCATTTGGATGTTGAAAACATCCTTCTCTCTCCTGTATTCTTTCAGCTCCTCCCCTTTGCACCTCCACTACCTTTGTTATGCTTTTGATGACCTATCTCTTATTCTAAATGTATGTATGTATTAAATATGCCTGTGTGTATGTAAATAGACACAAACACACACACAACGTACAAACAAAAGTACATACAGAAACATACAATAAATGCTTGAGATACATGTGTAGATTGGTTTCACAGAGTTGGAGTTTGGAATCTTGTATTACTTCAGCTTGGTTTTATAGAGATGTTCACCTCTCTCCACCCCACCTCCTAAAACTCCTAAGGTGCTAATACTGAGCACTTCTGAGAGTCAAGCCAAGTAAGTTTATTTATCAATCTAAACTTCAAAACCAGTATTGTACTACCTTGGCATTACCATCCTGTTACCTCCTGTGTTAGCCTGAATCACCCTTAAGGTTAATATTCCAGCCTGTGATCAACAGCAAGTTGCTTCAGACAGTGAGGTTTCAGCAAATGCAGGGTCATCTCCACACCTTTGACAGTAGAAAACTAGAACTATATATATAAAAGTTAGCTTTTTATCATTTTCTTTTAAGACAGTATGCAGCCAGCTCAAAAAATGAAACCAGCACATAGGACACTCAGCATACATCCACTGTTACAGAAGTCTGTCTGAATTAGACATGGAAGTCATTTGAAGAATTTCTGTTCTGACCTTATTTATCATTTGATTCACCTTTACTGTTTCCATTGATTATCTTCATGAGTTGTATCTGAATAGCAATTTACTCAGTTTGTAAAACTTAAATTTACAGTGGTCATTTACCATAGCTTGCAACACGCACATGAATTTTCTCGCATCCTATCTGTGTATTATGTGCTGAATGACAACTTTATTTAAAAAGGAATTCAAGAAATGAAATATTACAAGCATTAGTAAAACTTTCCGAAGAATGACACAGTAGTCTCATAACCCTTTACTGACTTGAAAATGAAGTGATCTTCAAACCTCTTATTACTGTAATAAAAAATCAAGTATTGTAAAATAACATGAAAGATAGAGAAGTTAGACTGGTAAAGGAAGAAAATATGATTTTTCTTGATAGGTAAATCTAGTTGTTGTGGGTGTTGGAGCTTTTTTTCCTAGTCATTAAGTCTGATAATGTCTTACAAGGTTTTACAAGAAAAAAACACCTACTTTATTTAAAAAATAAATTTAGGTGATATCCAGTAATAAGGAGAAACTAAAGTTACTTTGAAAAGGATAACCAGACTAGAAACCACCAAGTGATCTGAAGGCTTGGGAACAGTTCATGTCATTCATTAACATTGCTTTGAATCACCAGTCACGCAGAGCCAGTTTCTCCTTTCTGACGCTCTTGCGGAGACGACCTTCGTGAGTCTGTCCAGCAGGTGGCTTTGATCCCCTTGCAGACGTGTACAAACCCATCAAGTGAGGTTCCTTCACACAGCAAACCATCAGTGCTGCAGTAGAAAATTAGTGGCTACATTTAAGTCATTATTTGAAGCCCTCAGAGCTTCTAGAGCATCTCCTCTGGAAAACCCCATTTCCATAAGTCGTGCAACCTGGAAAAGAAATAACATAACAGCACTTTAAAACCAGAGTTTTATTCACAGTCACGTTAACAGTGTCAGAGATCACTTTTCAGCCTCTTCCCTTTAAAGTGCATGTGTGTATAAAATACATATATAGAATCATAGAATGGTTAGGGCTGGAAAGGACCTCAAAGATCATCGAGTTCCAAGCCCCCTGCCACAGGCAGGGACACTCTCCACTAGACCAGGCTGCTCAAAGCCTCTCCACTGATTGGGCTGTTCAGAAGCTTACCCTTCCTGAGAGTAAGCAATCAGGCTCTGCGCCATCACAAAGATGTATCCAGGACAGCATGCTTGAACACATTGCCACAGAGATGACTACTTTCTGATACTTTATTTAAAATCAACTGTCTGCTGAAAATGCCACACCTGTATTCTCCTAGCCATCCAGTTTTGAAAGAAGACTAAAATAGAAAGTATGGCACCACACATGACTACTACAATCTAAATATTCTCAAAACAGCATAAGGCAATGACATTTGACTGAAGAATTACCTGAAAAACGGCATATTAAGACAGTGATCTTGGTAATCAATAACCACTTGACCATCCCTCTTTATAATATCATGTACTCGACACCTAACCTTTTTGCTCTGTGCTAACAGATATTCAAATTGCCACATGAAAAAAACAATGCTGGTATAATCAAATTTAATTTATGGTTAAATTCCAATCCGAAGTACTTTTAAAATCTACAATTCTCAATTACGTATGACTGAAAGTCACCACATATTCACTTTTATAGTTAATCTTCCAGAGAGGGAGAAAACAAGGCGGGGGGGGTGGGACAAGGAGTGGTACATGAAATTATCTGTGGTCACTGTCAGCATAAAGCATTCGCCATCCTGCTCCAAATGGGCTGCACCCAGACACCACAACTTCTGAACGTGGAAGTTCTGGGCTACAGGAGCTGTCTGCGAGCTACCGCTGCTCCTCCTCTGCTTGTCCGGAGCTGCAGCAGCAGCAGAACGCAGCCAAGCAGGAACGCAGCAGAGGCTGTTTACATCTCAGGAGGACATTTCCCAGGGTGCAAGAGCAATGTGCATGAGTATTGAAAGTACTTCAAATGCCTTTTGAAAGAAAGGTGTCATTAAAAGCAACCTCCCTTTCCTCTAAAACACCTCCAGAACATTTAGTATTTTTGGAGGCTTACAGAGAAATACACTACTGCCAAGTATGCCCAGAGGTGGGGGTCCTCATTCGCTTAATCTAAATACACTGTTCAAAAATGTTTGAAAACAGCTACCTTGGCTGTCACAATATCAAATACAGTATAGATAATTTTTGTGTGTTTCCCTCTTTCCCCCCCTTACAACCCAACACCAGTTTCACACCTTCTTGTAGGGAGAGAAATGAATTGTTACTTTTGACACCTCTGCAACAATAGTGCAACTTCAAACTGGATTTCATAACCTGTAATTTTCTGAAGTTTCCTCTGTCTGATTTTTCATCTAAGAGTGTGTTCTTTATGAGAAAAAGGGCAGACAGTGGAATAAAAACTAATCACAGAAATACACTTCAGAAGAAAGGTTTTTACTGCAGTTACCATGAATTCTAACCTTAAATAGTGGTGGATGGAATTGCAATGTTCCCATTTACAGAAATATCCAGGGAGCATCACGAGGAATAGATTCTGGCAACAAAAAGCTCTTTTCATCCGAGCATATTTTAACCACAGGAACTGAATTCAGCTCCAGGAAACTGAGATGTATACCGGTAGCAGCAATTTAAGGTGCTAAAAACCCACAAGAAATGCGGAGATTTTTGTACAAGTGTTGCAAATGCTTGCAAATTTTAATCTGAAGAACAGAAGAGAATCTTGCATTTCTACCATTCTAAGACAACCTGTGTAGTTATTAGTATAGTCCTGAGAGATCAACGGTGCTCAGATGACTTTTTTCTTTGCAGGGTAACTAGGCAACGTTGCAAATGACAGGAATCAGGTGAGCTCTACAACTTCAATGCATGAGAAAATGTAAGCATATATTGCTTTCATAAATCTAGGCCTAAAGATTTTGGGTAAGCATCCAGCATTTCCAGCCCAACAATGAAAGTTCACATAAGCAGAATTTGTCAATAAAACAAATAAACAAACCAACTCAGCAGGGAAATATTTTCATTCACCTCATACCTGGCACTGAGTAGGCATTCAGGACAGCCAAAAGCAAGTTTCTGGGTCTTATCTCAGAAGGTGTTCTTTGGTGTGGGGATTTTCTGTTTTTTGTTGTTGTTGTTTGGGGGGGGGGGGTTGTTTTTTGGTTTGTTTGTTGGATGTAGCCCAGCAGGTTTTGCAGTCAAAACTCACAGTGCAGTTAAAGTTTTGAACATTCTGAACATAATTAACATTGAATCAAAACTAGAAATCAGATCATAGCAAATACTGCTGTTTGGGACAAGCTCATTTTAAACTAATTAGAAATGACTAACAAGACATGCCAGCGTGGCACTAGCAAGTGTTGATTTATCTCCCTGAAAAAGGGAAAGAAAAACTCACTCTTGAACCTACTATTATTCAAGTGCAGCAGAGACCTTAGACTATAGTATGGCCAAATGCAGCTAACTTCAGCCAGGCTACAACCTGGAGAACTTGATTGCATGCAATAAACCCTGAATACAGAAATAAGACTGATCTTAAATTCCCTAGTAAATCATCCTCTCTTTTGACAATAAAACTATCAACAAGAGAGTAAAAGTCTAACTCTATACAGAAAGTCTAAATCTATACTTGGTAGAAAAGACACAAACTTCTCTGTGGCATCAGTATGTGAAATCAGCCAACCCCATTATGGAGGAAAACATCCAAGTTTTATACCAAGTGTGTGTTGCTGTCCACAGCAGGCATAACATTCTTACTTCCAAAAAATTACATGACTTGAGTTTGGAAACTTAAGCTGGAGACCTCAGTGAAGGAAAATTTGCATATATCTAAAAGACATACAATGAAGTCTATTTGTCACTCTTCCTTCTTTGAAACATTTATTTTATTTTATCAGATTTGAATATCCCCCGCTAGTGAAACCATCTCATCTATAAATACAAAAGACAGTTACACATAAAAGCAGAAACTCCCAAGTTGATTTGTAACTCTGGTTTGGATGGTAATGACAATTCACTGTCTCTGTATTGTGACTGTTATCTGATATTCTGATTTGTGCATCTATAGAGAACATTTAAGAAACTGTGTCAACAGATGATAAAAAAATCAGTAGAGGTAATTCCTAACCAGTTTTTTAATGACATTTTAAAATAGAAAAATGTTTACCTGCTCTTCAGAAACCTCAGTAGGTGGAGGTGTGTCTTGTTCAGACGGGCGATGATCTTGATAATTCGCATTATGTCTACGACGCAGAGGAGGAAACAGTCTATTCCAGTTAATCATCCCACCCTGAAACCAGACACTGCTGTCAGTCTTTGCAAAAAGGACTACAGATATTTTTAAACAAAAAGATCATCCATCCCACATAATATGAAAGGCAAATGTTTGAGTAAAATACTTTATTTTCAACAACAAAAACTGCTGCAATTTCTTATAAGTCAAAACTGGGACTGGTTACTGCTTTACTAGCTATTAGAAGTAATCACTGTAAATTAAGGAAGAGTGCTAATGAAGGAGGAAAGGATGTTTCACGTCCATTGTGAAAGATTCGGTTCACTACAGTGCTAGACTTGTGAGGCTGAAGGATGGCTCTCTTTACTGATAGGGATTTGCCCAGCAAGAGATGCAACAGTGGGTCCTGCAAGTGCTTTGCAAGGCTGTGGCTGGAATTAACCAGGGAAAAGGAGTGCAGGAAATAAGTGGGCGGGAAAGGCAAAAATGGATTCTCAGTGCATCAGCAAAACCACATCAGGAAACTCAGAACAAGCCCAACCTTCAGGACACCTGTGACTGCCATGCAAGTGATTACTTCTGTGACACCAACGTGACCGTCACAGACACAGACCACTGCACCTAACTTCCGCCTGTTAAATACCATTGCAAAATCTGGCTGTATTCCAGTGCCAAAACGTTTTGTAACTACATAGTAATAACACAAATACAGCAATAAGGCATGTATTGTGTAAATCACAGAACTGAAACTTTCTTTTAACAACCAATCTTCAAGTCTGGTAATAATAAGACATTTACAATATAAAATGCAAATATTAAAGTACAACCTTTATAATCGTCCAGCAATAATTAATCCCCATTTATTAGCTTAAACAAACATTTTAAAAGAGAAATGTTAGACCAAAACCACAGGCCCTGCAAGCAGGGAAGAAGAGCAAACCTCAAATCTCACTTTTCTATACAATTTGTTAAAAAACATCTTTCGCAGTCTGTCTTGTCCTTTTCCTCCTCCGCTGCTCCCTCCATTACTATGGAGAAGATCCCCCTCCCTTTGAGTACATATAGGACATGGACTTCCTTCCTCTAGTTGCTCTATTTTAGTTCTATACTGTCGTTTCTCAGAAGACCTTCCTCTTAAGAGAATTTTTTCTTTTCTCTCTCAGCGAGGGCTCTTCCTGCCTTTGTGTACCCCTACAGCATTAAATGCTCTCTGCTCAATCAGATCAGCAGCAACTCAGCCTGCTCCTAGACCAAAAAAAAGTTAATTTAGTTTTCCTGCTTTTTCCTTTGTTTTCTTCCTTCCTCTCCAGAGGAGACCTAAGGAGCTCAGACACCACAGGGGGCAATAGCACACTTAAAAAAAAGCATTTGGGGAGTGACAAGATTTGAAATGCTAGCTTGTGAAGCGTCCCAAACCCTTATATACTAGAGTGCATTCTTCCCTGTGAAAGGATGGAGTCATCACCGGTTTTCAAGACATAGTTTCTACTGCTAGTGATTTTGAATTTAAAAAGTGATCACCTATCTATTTCTATTTTGCGTACTATATAAAACATTGTCTTAAAGTAATGAAGATTTAACACAAGGGTTCTTTATAAGCCTTGCATTAGCCAAACAGCGTAGTGTAGTAAAAATAATTGGTTTGTAGTTTAAACCCAGAGAGGGATCTCAGACCTTCTACTGACACTACTGCACTACTCCGTGGTCTTGGAAAAATCACGTCCTGTACTTCCCCATCTATAATTTCCCCCAACTCAGAATTATATTGAGTTTTAATTAATTAACTTTGAATTTCCAGAAGTCTACCAAGTTATGTAGTTCAGCAAGAACGCTGCACTAATGCTGCTTTGCCTGGTTTTATTCTTTTGAAAAGACCTGAGGGGAAGAAAACAATTCTTCCAAAGGTCATTCATCTTAAATTTGTGAATTGAAAAATGCTAACAGGACTATGACACATTTCTTTGTCAGAAGTAACACAAAATAATGTGTATGAAATATAAAATCTACAATTAATTAATTTAGCAGTATTCCAGTGTATCTGAAGACTGAAATAAACGTACCTTTCCAGCTGTGCCCTCAGTTTCACTACCAAGCTGCCTAGTCCGGTTTGGTTTTGCATCTTCTCTGTCCTGGGTGCTGTCATATAGCTCTACAGAGAGACTTGTCTACCTCCTTACCCTCAGCTTACAATGCATTTTAAATAAATGCATACAGAATTTGTTACTTTCAGTAAAAAAAGAAAAATAAAAGCAGATTCCTTACTAAGTTAACTATTTTTTGAAGGTTTACAGCAGGTATCCTGATAAACTATAAATATAGACTGATGCATTCAGAAGAGTTCCATATGAAGACTACTATCGCTTTCCCAGAAATAACAGACTAGCCAAATTAGAATCATTGTGAAAAGATCTTTTTCAGTTGCCTTCAGAATATTTCAACTACCTCTGGAAATTGTGACAAACATAACCCACCAGTTCTTAACTATATTAACAATGTAAGAATATCCACAGTACAACAACAGCAAGTATTAAAGGCTGAAACTCTTAATGGTATGTGAACACTGATGTTTAGGATTAATCCCAACACTTCTCACCCGTGTAATACTTTACAAACTGCACCAAAACCATGCACATTATGCTTCTTCATCCTTAACTGCAAGAAAATTGTTCCCCCTCACAGACTTGCCTCTAATTACATGTTGGACACATATAAAGTTAGGCTCAAAAGAGCTGAGATTCAGGGAACTGCAGCAGGAACTATGTGACTGGCACTGGGGCCAATCCCACAGAGTAAAGGCAAGGCAAAAATAGGAAGTGCAGCTAATGTCACAGATCCACAGAAGATGGAGATCAATGCCACGGATTTCCAGCATGGATGGTGACTGTGTACAGACTTTCAGACAACCTTAACTATCACAGCCAAAATACATTAAGATCTGTGAATTTTAATTTGACCCAAAGCAAACAGCAAAAAATGTCTTAAGTAAACATTGCAAAATCTAGTTAAAAAATGCTCAGAAGGAGATTTCCAGACCAATACTCTGCCTTGCCTCACAGAAATTATTTTGCAGACCTCCCCTTCATAATTTTATGATGATTTCTGTACTATAGTGTTTTTTGACTGTGCTAACATACTCTGCAAGAAGTCAGGAAGATTTCCCATGAAGATATACAATCTGATGAATTTATTTAAGAGATGCTTCTAAACCATCAGAAAGTCCCTACTGGGGCATCAGCAAACAATATTTATGCATTTTACAATATACTTGAACCCTGGCACCAGCACCCAACACCACAGGTGAGCCTCGTCTCATATAAACAGCTCTCTGGAGTGGTCCAAAACAGAGGCAGAAAAGGAGCCAATAATTCAGCAGTGAAAATGATCAAGGGTCCAGTATGCAAGCTCCTTTCCTGCGAAGCACCTTCAGTGACAAGTGTCTGCCAGTCTAATCCATTAAATGAAATTCAGGCAGTTCTTCTGTGATTCTGGTTTGTTGGTTTGTTATAAAAAGACTGAAGTTTAATACTAAATGGTTTGGGGGCTGGAACCTAACATGGCTCAGGATGAATGCTCTAGACCTCTTAGATCCAGAGCCAGTTTTAATAACTGACAGACTCAGGCTATCTTGCATCAAGATTACCTCAGATGACATTTTTCTTTGTCCTGAATCTTAAGTGTCAGGCAACAGCAAGTGCAGTTGCTGCTCCAAGAGGAAAGGCAAGCTGAGGGCCAAGGGCAACAACAAGGCAAGTGGAGGCAGTGGCCTCACTGAAATGCAGAGTGTTTCCACAGGATGCAAGTGAGAACAGCAGGTCCAGTGACAGTAACCACCACCAGCCAAAAGTCCAGATCACCAGGCAAATCCAGTCACGAGGCACGTGTAAGATCAAGCCTAGAAGTCAAGTCAGTTTAGATAACCAAAGAATGAGATTTAAGAAAAATGGCAGCTCTTCATCACGGAAAAGACTGCAAGGAAATACCATATTGATGACTTAATCTTGGATAGCTGCCAGGGCTTTACGTACTAAAGTCGTGCCTTGTGAGGTCACATCCTTGATGTCTTTTTTTGTTTTGGGGTTTTTTGGGTTTTTTTATGGTGTTTGGGACAATGTTGTTTACAAGGAAAGGAGTAGCCTCCTTTCCTACAGAATAAGGAAGAGATATTCATACCACTCGAGAGCTAGCAAATGCCTCTGATTGTACAGCTTGCCAAAACCCCAGTTTTGCCATTTCTTTTCACGTAATCTCCTTCCTCTCTTTTGAAAAGCAGCTCTACCTGTTTCCCATACACATACCTGCCATGGCATATTTTTCAATAGCACTTCTTATTCAAAGCTTGACAATTAAAAATGTTCTTTTATGGGCAACTAACAACTATCCAGTTAAGTAGCTGTCATATCAGAATATATTTGAATTAAATTAATTTCAAAAGAAATGAAAGAAAATGCTTTATAAAAGTCCTCTTGACAGTGATGCATGTGGTTAAAATATTTTGATAATGTTATCTCACGTATATGGTTAATGCCAACTTGCCATCTGTTTGCACAAACAGGAAGCACGTCCTGATATCTGTCCTGTTCACCTTTTCTTAACATAACAACCGCAGCGAAAGAAAAAAAAAGGAAATTGCTCTGCATTTCATCTTTTGAAGTAACATTTTTAAAGTTTCCTACTCTGCATAGGAGCCATTACTTGGTACAGACATAAATATTGTCTTACTTCTTTCACATAAAGTGGCATTTAAAAAAATTCTTATGTACTTAAAGCAAGAAACACTTACTTGCTTTACAGACATACATTTTTCTACAAATTATTGACTCCAAAGTACACATACTGATGATATAAACAAAGAAAAAGCATAGCCAGGAATGACACTATCATACCTCCTGCTCCAATATCTGAACACTGTGTAAGTAAGATCAATGGCAATAGTGAAATTTCCAATAGACTTATTCAAATGTCTAGCATGCCTCCTTTTGTGAGGACAAAACTCTTCTGTGTTTTTGGTTGGGATTTATTTGTTTTGTTTTGTTTTTTAAATTTAGTAACTTCCTTTTTTT